TTGGGGACAGAACTGAGGAGAGAAAGGAAAGAGATTCCTTATGAGAAACCTGGCACTAGGAAAATTTCCAGGAATCTACAAGGACAACTCCAACTAATAATCTAAGCAATATTGGAAAGGCTACCTTAAATGTCCTTCCCCTAGAATGAGATTGATGACTACCTTTATGCCATCATATTTCCTTCATTTAGTGGCTGATGGAAGCAGAAGCAGAGATTTACAGCTAAACACTGAGCCAAATTCCTGGAATCCAGTTGTAGAGAGGGAGGAGTGATTAGCAAAGAGTTCAAGACTATGCTGACCTGAGCAAGTGGGAGCTCCCAAACTCCAGAGTAACAGCTGAGGAACCTGCATAAGACTGAACTAGGCCCCTATATGTGGATGTCAGTTGGGGGCCTTGGGCAGGCTATGGGGCTGCTGGCAAAGAAACCAATATTAATCCCCAGTTCATGAACAGAATTTTCAGAGACCTCTCTTTATGGAGGGATACTCTCTCAGCCTAGATACAGGGGGAGTGCCTTAGTTCTGTCCCAAATGATGCAACAGACTTTGATGGTCTCCATTGGAGGCCTCATCTTCTCTGAGGAATGGATGGGGGTGGGATGGGGAGATGGTGGAGGGAATGGGAGGACAAGAGGGAGACAGAACTGGGATTGGTATATAAAGAAGATTGGTTTTTAAATTTGATTTAAAAACTTAAAAAATAAATATGTTTATAGGACCTCAATGATCATTCTTCAGTCTTTTGTTTTGTCTTTTTACTGTGATTTCACTTGTGTCTAATGTATTGGGAAAAATACCCAGGTTAACTTGATTAGAATATACTTTTGTTACATAGATTATGTGACATAGGCAGATGTTTTAAATGGTAAACATAGAGACGTACAATTTGGCTTAAAAGGCATAAACATGCTCCTGGTCCCACATTTTGTCTGTGCTTAAAGTAGAGAATCCAACATTGTCATTGCCTATGTGTGAGGGTATGTTTTGTTTTGTTTTGTTTTGTTAATGGGTTACTGGGAGTCCATCTCAGATCCTTATTATGTTTTATCATTGATTAACATCCTAGGTCCCTTTATGTATTTATTTTGAAATGAGGTTCTGCTATGTAGCCCAGGCTTGCCTTGAACTACACTTTTCCTTTCTGACCTTCCTGAGTAACCAGGACTCCTCGCAGGGTGAGATAATTCTGGATCATCAAGGAGTGAAGTGTGACAGAGATTCCATTGGAAATTTGAGGGTAGAGGGACCAGGCTCCTCTGGTGTGTACACAGAGTACTTAGGGTTATATTCTCTAATAAGTGTAGAGCCACTCACACATTTCCCCAGTGTTTGCACCAGGCATTTGCAAGGAAACATGGTTCTCTAAGATCTGTGAAAATGGATTTGGTCAGGCAAGGCCTGTCTCTTATAGGGAAACTTTCCTAATTTCATACTGGAGATTGGGGAAATTAACTACAGGGTCACTTTGCAAAAACTTTCCATCCGGACTCCAAAATTAAAGCTATTCTGATGACAATCTCAAGCATAGTCTGGGTCATGTTACATAAACCTGGCTGGATTTTGGAAAATGAAATGCCCTATTTTTATGCATTGCTAATAAAATCTAGCTTGTGATAGCGCTTTGAAAATTTTAGGCAATACCACAGTGTTTTAGCTTCTAGTGCATTTAGATGAACACTTTCCAGTTTTATAGGGGTTCAAAGAGGAAGAGAATCATTTGATTTAATAAAGGGCTGTTTATATTTCATAGTATTTTTATTTTACTTTATGCAGTTTTCCTTGGTGAGTAATTTAGGTTTTATACTGCTGCTATGATATATCATGACCAAAAAAGCAAGTTGGAGAGAAAAGGTTTAATTTGGCTTATACTTCCATTATCACTGTTTATCATAGAAGGAAGTCAGGACAGGAACTTAAGGGCAGAAACATGGAGGCAGGAACTGAGACAAAGGACTTAAGGGAGTGCTGCTTGCTTCTTGTTTAGTCTATAAGGTAGGATATCTCAACTGGTCTTCAGTATGTGCTAGAATCCAGAAGAAGTAGGCTTTAATGCCAGTGAAGAAATGGACTTGCTAGCAAGATGCAAGTAAGTAGGCAAAGAGCAAAACTTTCTTCTTCCGTGTCCTTATATAGACTTCTAGCAGAAGGTGTAGCCCAGATTAGAGATATAATCTAGATAAAGGTATGTCTTACCAACTCAAGATCTAAATAGAAGTGTATTGTCCTATTTCAAATTAAGCAAAGTCCCCCCCTCCATATGCTCCTCTGTTTGAGAGTTTTAGTTAATATCAGATGTATTCAAGTTGACAAATAATGGCCACTAGAAGTCAACTTGACCCACAGTCATTAATTAATTATGTCATAATTAATTTTCAAATGAGAACAATAACCAGGTTATAATAATGTCAAAACATTATATAACTATCCCATATAATTGCATACACATTTTACATTTAGGTCATAATTATGTCTAACATGCTATAACTAACCCTTGTACAACTGAAAATGCATTATAAGTTTAGAATAGGTGGAAGCATCTCTTGATGGACATTCTTTTAGCATCTCAAACTCAAAGATGCCAGGCATTGATACTCTCTTGTGACTGATTGTACATCACATGAAAAAGAAACTAAGGTAAGAAAACACAAATATCTGGACAAAGTCACTCTTAACAAAACATGACAGAAACACTCATGTCAACTATAAGTCTCATTTCTGTAACTTGTCATGTGTCCTTTGCTGGTATGTATTACTACCTTTTTCCACTACCTAATTCTTTATCTGTATTTATCTCACCTGAGCAGATCTTGACTCCTTTCCTGAAGGAGTGACTCATACCTTCATTCCTGAAGTGTCTATGATCTTTGTCATCCTACTTAGATTAAGCAGGTATAGTTTCCCTTTGCTTTTAATCACAGGGCATGGTAGCACCAAGAGATGCCCTATAGTATGTCCTGTGCTCCAGACATAATCTTTCTCACTGCCACTGTGGAGAAGCAATCCAGTCTCTCCATGGTAATCTGGATCAATTACCCCTCCTAGTAATATTATTCCTTTCTTAGCCTGTGGATTTAAGGGCATTTGAAGCCCACAGTGATGAGGGTAAGTCTGCACTTCCAGTTCAGTGCAATGTTTGTTGTAGCTCCTGGCTAGAGTGCTTCCACCTCTGAAACAAAAACTTCTAGGCCAGTAGAATTTAATGCCATGGGAACAGAAAGCAAAAATTTTCCTAGTGGGTCACTAGAGGTGATAGTGAGGGGCACTGTTCCATTTTTCATTCCTTGATTACTGGACCCATGGAGTCCAGCTATGGAATCACATGTTGGAGGCTGACTCAAAGCATATGCTGCCTTCTGGAGAACCATGCCCCAGTCCTGAAGGCTGATGCCACCGAAGTGGCACTGTTAATGTGTCTTCAAAAGGCTATTCTGTCTTTCAATCCAGTCAGCTATTTCAGGATGGTGAGGAACAAGGTAACAACCAGTGGATTCCATGATCATAGGCTCAATCTCACACTTTTCTCTCTGTGAAGTGAGTTCATTAGTTATAAGCAATACTGTGTGAAATACCACAATGTTGGATAAGGCATTCTGTAAGTCCATGGATGCTCATAAAAAAGCATTATATGCAAAAAGGCAAATCCATAACCAGAATAAGTGTCATTTCCAGTAAGGACAAACTGTTGTTTGTCCATGGAGGAAATGGTCAAGCTAAGCCAACCTGCCACCAGTTCACTGGCTGGTTACCCTGGGGAATGCTGCTGTATCTGGGGATTAGTGTTGGTCTCTGTTATTGACAAACCTGGCACTCTGCAGCAGCTGTAGGTCAGCCTTAATGAGTAGTAGTCCATATTGTTGAGCTCTTGCACAAACCTCATCTCTGCCACCATGCCTAATTTGTTCATGTGCCCATTGGGCAATGACAAGAATGGCTGAAGAAAGAGGTTGACTGTCCACAAAACAAGTCATTCTATCTATTTGGTTATTGAATTACTCAGCTGAAGTCACATTTTGATGAGAATTTATATGGGACACAAATATTTTCACATTCTTCACCTATTTGGAGAGATCTATCCACATACTTCTTCCCTATCTTTGTCACCAGTTTTCTATCCATGCTCTTTCCAAGTACCTAACCACCAGGCAATCCATTGGCTACAGCCCATGAGTCAGTGAACAATCATACATCTCATCAATTAAACAAATTGTTTAATCATGTGTACACCCTGAAGTTCTGACCACTGTGAAGACTTCTCTTTACCAGTGTCTTTCAAGGTTGTCCCATAAAGGGATTGTAATGCTTCAGCTGTCCACTTCTGGGTGTTTCTTGAGTAATGAACAGAACCATCAGTAAACTAGTCCCTAGTCTTCTCTTCTCAGTCAATTGATCATAGGGAACACACCATGAGTCCATAGGTATATACTTGACAGCAGCTGGCACTGTGATGGTAGTAGAAACCACAGGCATTGGGCAACTTCTTCATGTAACTTGCTTGTGTGACAACTAAAGATAGCTATTACAGTAAATATTATTATTGCCACTGAAATCAAGCTGGTACCCAGGGTAAGGGGCCTGGACTTCATTACAGAAGTTGCAGAGTTGTAATTTGAACTCAGGTCTCTCCAACTGCAGAGTCTTCTTTCCTTACTAATATTTCACCCTCCTTCCTTCCTCAACAGAACTTTCACTCCTGATTTCATTTTTAATTTCCATATTCTTTTCACTGAACACTCTGTTCTTGTCTGAAAAATTAAGTGAACAAACAATCTGCACACCTGTGCATTGGGAAAACTCAGCTTACTTACTTTTTTAGGACACATTTATACATAGCCTTTTGTTCCTCCACAATAAAGGTTAAATGGGAGACAGAGGAGTTCGCTTTCCTGTGACTCTGTCACCCTGTAGACAATTGGCAGCGGGAGAGCAGCAGCTGCCACACTCTTCAGATATCTCTCTATTTAAAGTTCAAAGAGGAGCAGGATAACAATACGGAAGAAAGACGTGTGGCCCTGACTAAGTCACCCAACAATAGAAATAATGGCTGAAAAAGGTAAGCTGTAAAGCATGGGGATTTCTTGCCAGAAACAGCTTCCTGACTTCTTGACTTTGTTTCTAAGCATTTAGATCTTGAAGAAGGTATGCTCTCTGCTGAAGAACCACTGGCTTCGTGTTTTAGTGTGACTGCAAAAAGCTATTAAACATGTAGTTTTTGGACCATATAAGATGAATAATTTTGAAATTATCAGTGAAACAGAATAATTTCATATCAGTTTTCTTGGAAAGGTGAATTATCAACTACAGTATTGAACTATACTTGAGATCTTGGGGGGTTTTGGACCAGACGTAAGAGCAGTTGAGTTCTTCATCAGAACTGCAGGATGGCTGCATGAATTTGGAGAAGTCTTCCCAGTTCTGAGTCTATATTATGACTGTCAAATTAGAATACTGAGCTTACTCATCTCTGATATGCTTCATAACTGAATTATTTTTTCTAATTCTAAAACCTTATGTCATATTTATATGCTTACATAAAATAATTGATTCAAATATGAATAAATAGACAGTTTGAAGCAATTATGAGAAGCAATTTTTAAATACATACTTGGCATCTTTGCTTTCAACTCTGACAACAATCAACACTGTGAGATATGCATATATCACCACCCTCATTTTCCACTTAAGGAAACTGAGACATAATGAAGTTTAGTATGTGTCCATGGCCACTAGATTGTGGTGGCACCAGGCCTCAGACCTGGGCAGTGTTGCTCCACAGTGAAGTGCCGCTAAGAATGCTTCCAATGGTAGCTGCTTTGGTAAGCTTGAAACCAGACAAACAATAAAGCATTTTAAAACACTCCTGCATTTAAAAGGGAGATTTGTTCTTATTTGTGCCATTGGTGTAAGAGATTTAGGAAAAACATTAGGTTTCATGTATTACCATTTCCAAATGATGCATCAGATTATGGTAGAACCGAAAATGTTGGTGTTAAAAAATGATCAATGCAGTTGTACTTGCTTAACATGCACAGATACTTGCACTGTTTTACAATGCATAGCAAATAAAGGAATATTGACTTTTAGAGTTTGATGATGTGCAGATTTTATTAAAACAGGTGTTATAAAATTTTACTAAAATATACTTGTATTAAACATTTATAATCAATTGAAATGTCTGTTAATTTTCAAGCTCTTTGAAGTTGATGGAAGTGCTGTATCACTTAAATAAATAATTAAAAATACTGTCATGTACTTTCATTATAATGGTATCTTAATTAAAAAAATTCTTTCTCCCAAATGAGACTGAAGTATGTCTCATAATCTTTACTTTACCCTTAGAGCAACAGCACATGGCAAGTAAGGAGGAGGTTTTTCCCTTCAATGCATCATGCCTTGTTCAAGGTCACAATTAGGAGAAGCAAGAAAATCCCATTTTGGAAGATAAGGAAGACTTTAACATTCTATGAAAAACCTTGAAACTATTAAAATTCATTTAAGCTTCAGAAAGTTGACTATTATGAAAGTATCTTCTAATTTTAGAAGTTCCTCATCTCCTGATGACTTTATTTTAACAGCATTAACCACCCTTCACATTTGAAGTGATGAAAATTGTAATGGGACTGCAATTGCTAAGAACATCCACTCTCTCTCTTAGCTAATGACATATGATCTCTTTGTGTTCTTCAGTTAAGACCATGTCTTAGTCCTTAACACAGTTACATTAATTTTATAAGATATTTTTCTGTGCTGCTTTTCTTTCTTCTTTTATTTTCTTCTTTTTCTTTTTCTTTCTTTCTTCATCATTTTTTTGGGGGGGTTCTGTGGTATATGCCTGTGTGTTTACAGAATGAACAAGAGTGACAAACAGTATTATAGAAAACTATGTATATAAATTGCTTTTTTACAGACCAGGTAAAAACAAGAGATGAAGCAATATGCAAGCATCTTTCATGTGTATTGGATTATTATTGCCCATAGTCAAGCTCAGCACTGGTAGTGATAGAGAATGACTTTAAGGAAATATATATATATATATATATATATATATATATATATATATATATATATTTCTGATGATTTTTTTTTCTCCTGTGAAATTTAAGATCAAAGTCAATTATTGAGATCAAGAGCAATTCTGAAAACAATCTAATCTTGCGTGTTATGAGTAATTCAGTTCAGTAGGAATTACCTCACAGTTATATTGGATTGTTGTTATGTAAACAGCTGCTAGACCCATCGCTGGACAAACTTATGAGTATGTTCTTTAACCACTAAACACAGGCATGTTGGGTCACATTTACAAAGCCTTTGCACACACTGCATCATTTGACTGAGGAAGCAGCCAAGAGGTAGATACTTCAAGTTCTACTACCGAGCAAGATGCTTCAAGTTTAAAATTGCACAAGCTCATGGAACTGTAAAAGGGTGACCTGTGGTTTGAACTGAAGGCTTATATTTCATATCCCGGATTTAAAATTCATTTACAGGGTGTCTTCTGAAGAAAACAAGACAAACATATTCATGTATGAGCCTGATCAAAGTGCACTTTTTTTTTAGCTTCCCCATAGATCTTTCGACATTTTGCTTTATGAAGTTTAATGCCAAAAGGGTCTATTTAATTTGTTTTCATTGCCTTTAAGTAGAGTCAGCATCACCACAGCTCATGGTTCCAATTCTTCTCCTGGTTGGATGGATTGTAGGCTGTATCATAGTGGTTTACATTGTCTTCTCCTAGAAAAGTAAGCATTTTAATAATGAATGTTTCTTCAAAATTGTTCTAGAATTGATTTTTTCTATTTTACTAAAGAAATGTTTTGTCCTTCAGGCAAGAAGACTTCAGGCTGATATCACTTAGAAGAACTAAGAAAAATAAGAACATGGCTGATCATTAAAAATGTCTCATGTTAATTAGCTGCAGTGTTTTGTATCTTTTGGGAGCTAAAATCTGGTTTCATAAAAATATCTTAGGGTCTTGCTTGAAATTACAGATAAAAAATAAGAAAATTCAGGTGAATTTTTCTGTGTCAAGAAAATAGGCAATATATGCTTAATTATGGCTAAAAACACATTAAGCAACAGGGTTGAGTATGATAATTTATTAGATTAGAAAATGTTTTCTATTTTCCTGACAAAATGGATAATTGGACTAAGGAACAAGCAACAAACAGAAGACAAAAGACAATTGAAAAATTTGGGTCTTACCTCTGGATCATAATGACAATGTTTACAGCTGTGTAACAAACATACATGTTTGGCATCATTTGTATTGGTAAGGTTGTGGGAGATAAGCACTTTCATACACTGTCTTTGCAAATTCAACATGGGATATTTTGTTGTTGTTTGCCTTTTGGAGACCATCTTGGTGTTGTTCAAGCTGGACTTAAGAGATTCTCCTGTCTCAGGCTCCTTGAGTAGTTGGGAATGTGGGTGTGTACTGTTACACCCAGCTAGGTATATAACATTCTGGGGGTATATTTGGAAGTTAGTATCTTCCAATACATTATTTTGAACCAGTTTTTTGTTTTCATAGGTTATGTCAGTTTCCACAAAGCAACAAAAATACATAATGTCACATTGTGCAGAGGCCAGAGTCCACTGTGACATAAACGTGATGTAAGAGACCTTAGAAAGTAATGAAAGAGGTCTTTACATATTGATGTGATGTAATCTCCAGAACTGAAAATGTTAATTGAAGGAATTCGATAGGCTGGAGAGATGGCTCAGCTGTTTAGAGTACTAGGGGGCTCTTACAGAGGACTCAGGTACAACTCCAAGCATCCACATGGCACCTCACAATATCTGTAACTCCAGTTTCAGGGAATCTGACACCCTCTTCTAGCCTCCTTTGGTGCTAAGTAAATAAGTGGTAAACAGATATATGTGCAGTCAAAATACCCATACCATGTAAAATAAAAATAAGGAAACATTTAAAAAGTCAGGCATATCTACTACCATTTGTGTAAGAAAAGGAGGAGTTTAATAAATATGCATGTAACTAAACACTTACTACACAAACAGTAGAGACTAGATATTTTATAATGTTATAATATAATGTCATATAATAATATGAATATTTTATAAGCTAAAAAGAAAAAAAATCAGTAACCTCCCAAATTGAAAACAAGCTAAAAGTAACCTAATAATATAGCAGTCTGGTAATTGTCTTAGGATTAAATTGTTTGGAAGAGACACCATGGCCAAAGTTACTCCTATTGTTAGGAATAAAGCCCTTGAGGGACCTTGGCAGATTCCATGGTAGGCAAGAGTGACTGGCGGGGGACAAACATAGGCAGACAGAGCTTAAATGAGAAGTTTTATTAGGAAGGGAAGGGGGGAGGAAGAGAAAAGAACTAAAGAGATACAGAGACAGAGAAAGCACAGAACAGGAAGACAGGAAAAGCTCTGCTCCAGGGAAACATCAGGAAAGATAGCAGAAAGAGAGCATAAGAGAGGGAGAGGAAAACAAGAGAGAGAGAGAGAAGGATGAGGGGTAGGCAGGGCCCTTTTAAAAGGGAACATAGTAAATGTATATAGGTGGTGCTCGTAGTAGCTGTAGCTGAGGGTGTATCCTTTCAGAACCCTAAGGGCAGGGCAGTACACATGCCTAAATACTAATTTTGCTTACATTCTCATCATGGCTCACGGGGGAGGGGGACACAACAGCATGCAGGAAGACATGATGACAGAGAAGTAGCTGAGAGTTCTACAGGTAGCAGGAGGAGAGAGACACTGGGTCTGGCTTGTGCTTTTGAAAACCTCATAACCCACCCCCAGTGACATACTTCTTCCAACAAGGCTACAAATTCTAATTTTTACAAATAGTGCCACTCCCAGCTGGCCAAGATTTCAAATATACATGAGCCCATTGGAGACATGCTTATACAAATCACTATAGTAATATAACACAAAAAAAATCTTTCAAGAGACTAAAAACACAATTTATGTTTTTTACTATGTATATCTTATGGGCTAGAGGACTTAAAATCACATTCGGCTGGGTAAGGGACAGGTATCTTTAATTTCAGCACTTAGGAAGCAAAGACAGGCCTCTGTGAGTCTAGACCAGGCAGGGATAAACAGTGAGACCCTGTCCCAAAAGAACAAAACAAAACAAAACAGCCAGCCCCAAAACAAACAAACAAACAAACAAATAACTCAACAACCAAGAAGCAAAAGCAAGAGCATAATATTTGTCAAAGGATTTGGACAAAAATTTGTAACAACATCGGGAACAATTCCAAGAGAAGGCACTGCAGGACAATGAAAGGTACTTCATCTGTAGTCTGTAGGACTCATATACTATGACTAGACTGAGGGTTTATGCAAAATAGCCATCATTGAATCTATTAGATGGAGCTCAACAATTTTAACCTCTGGAGACTTGTCCATGTTTAAATTGCAGGACTGATTTGCTGTTATCTGTTTCACATGAGCTAATTGGTTTCTTCAGTAATAAAATGTATAGAATGTTTTAAAACCAAACCAAAACAAAAATAAATAAATAAAAGTGAAGACATGAGAGACTGATTAGAGGAAGCGGCAGTTGGAGGGAAGATGCCAGCAAGAGAAGGTAACAGGATTGGACATGAGCTAAATACACCTGACATGTCTTGATGAAGCACATTAGTTTCAATAATAATATATAGTAATAAATAATTTTTCAGAAGCAAAAAAAAAAAAAAAAAATAAGCAAAGCCCAGATTTCCACTACCCTCAACTGCCTCAAAAACATAATAAATAAATAAATAAATAAATAAATAAATAAATAAATAAATAAAAAGAGAAAAGGAATTAAAAAGGAGACAGGTGTAAGACCCTAATTCTGGGGTCCCGATGGGCCAGTGGGAGACACAAACACCAAACCAGGAGATGCAACAAGCAAGAGGCATTTCTTAAGCGAGTGCACACTTGGGTGTCAGCAATCTCGGGAAAAGCTGCATACCCCTCAAAGAGTTCAGGCTTTTTTTTTATAGAGAAAAACCATAAATCAGCATACATGCATGGGCAAAAGGTGATTGATTACAAAGTATAATCTCATGTTTGAGAGATCACCCAGGTGTGACCTATTTTCCTTCAAAGGAAAAAGGAAAAACCACAGAATGTACTTTGGAAAATCCCCAGACTGTCCTTTGGCCAGGTGTTACCCAGACAGGATCATTCATCTAGAACCATTTGTTCCAGGGTTAGGGCCTATTCCCTTGTTGTGGGCCAAGACCTGTGAGAAACTTCAATTATTACACAAAGGTTTGATGATTCAGTTATTAGGCCCATTTAACAGGATCAGCCTAGCATATAACCACTATCCCCATCACCATAGTAATCTTTCTTTATTTCATAATTCCTGATCTTTCCACCCATGTCAATGTCCATTCTTTATGATTTTCTATATCCTGCTTATAAGAACTACTCTTATTACCTCCCCTGCCCCTTTCCTACATCCTTGCTCTGTAAACTAAATTCTTTCAACAGGGAGTAAGAAATTATTCCAGAATATAAGACTATCAGATGAAGATGGACCAAATCCACAAACACGTTTTATACTTCTGTGATAGAGACAAGAGGTAATTCTTAGTAATTTGGTTCACTATAATAACAATTGGCAAAAAGAAAGCAATCTGGTTGAGATTTACATGAACGACCTATTGGGGAGGTGGTAAGTTTTACCTGAATTTATTCCCACAGAAAATTAATGAAAGAATAAACTGGAGTATATGCATAGGACAGGCAAATTGTTGATGTTTGTTGAGGCCAAGGGATACGTTTCTGAAGATTTATCATATCCTTTGACCTAATCTTTGTGTAGAACAATTTTTGTGCTTGTTCCTTATTTCTTCTCAGTGTCACTGTTATGAGCTACAATTTATGCAAATAATAAATTAGAATAAAACAACACAAAGTTAAATATAGCTGTACTCTTGAATCTTTTTTATTATTTTATTTTATTTTATTTTATATAACAAAGTCCAATTAAATGAAAACAAACATTTATACACAATATTTGGGAATTTGGGAGTCGTTCTTTCCAAACTATTTCCTGCTGGTAAGGGGCGCTGTCATGGAGGATTGGAAGAAGATTCAGAAATCCTGGCTGTAGTCTGTAGGGCTGCTTTGTCCAGCTGTTTTGAATGTAGGATCACCTTGTACTCTGTTTCAGGCAGTCTGGCGTGATCAAACCACATTAGTCTGGAAGGAATCCACATCTTTTCATTTTCTGTGGAAACAAAAATAGAAATCCTTTTCCCCAGTAACTTGTTCTTGAACTTAAATTTTGGAGTCAAAGCATTTTTTTTAAATTTAATTTATTATTTTACATGTCGATCCCAGTTCCCTCTCCCTCCCTCCCTCCCTCCCTTCCTCCCTCCCTTCCTCCTTCTCTCCCTTTTACCCTCTCTGACCTCTCACATGCACTCCAACCACCCTCCCCTCCCATCCCCCCACCCAAATTCCATATGTAGTGGAATGCCATCCAGTTGGGGTCATGTAGATCTGACAGGTCATGTGAAATAGGGACTAGGGCTTCTCTCCTGTCTCTAGATTAAGGCAGTTATCCCTCCATGGGGGATATGTTCGCAAAGTCCTTTTGTGCACCAGGGATACATCCTGGCTCCACTGTCTGAGGTCTCTTAGACTGCTCAGTCCTTCTGGCTGAGACCCATATTCAGGGGGGCCTGAGTCAGTCCCATGCTGGCTTCCCAGCTATCAGTCTAGTGGCCGTTAGCTTCTCCTTTTTCAGATAAGCTGTCTGTATGTGTTTCTGCCGCATGGTCTTGTCCTCTCTCTGCATCTGGGTTCTAGTTTGACTCAATGTTTATGTATGGGTTTTTGGTCCTGTTTTCAGCAGGCATTAGTTGAGGGCTCTATGGAGAAGTTAGTTGTTGATCTCACTCTCCGGGAAG